TTGAAGTCGATTAGTCTAATATAATTAGAAAATATGTCACGCGGTGTTTATCGCTCATGGGCTATACACATCGCGCTCATGGCCCGGGAGCGAAAGTGTACGTAAACTTAGTAACTACCATATTTGGCTGCGACGAGGTTGGTTACATTTCTAGTAAATTTTTAGCTATTATAGACACATGTCCATAGCTAATAATCTCTGTACTGTCTGATTTTGAAGTTTATTGAAGCGAATAGATTATTAATTAATTAGCAATATGGCACGCTGGGTATCGTTACTCGATAGCTAATGCACGTGCGGACTATGGACGGTCGAACGAACGTTCTACGAATTATTTTTTATCTTCAATCACCGGTCCGGAGCAATTCACTCTGTTTAGACGGCTGAGTTGACGAACGCCTAGTGTAGGTGAGCGTGAATCACGGGTACCAGCATTAGCCTTCATCCATTGCTCTGCCTTCACATTTATCAAGCTCATCTCTATCTGTCTTCACGTATTACGTATAACATTTATGTTTGCGATATTGGACATGACAATCCTTCTGCCTTTTTAGTTTAAACTGTTCGAAGTGTTACCAAGTTGAAGTCATATCACCTAGAATTGAACTTAGAAACTAGCTGACCCCACAGTCCGCTGCCCCACTGGCATGCTTGGCAGCTGCAATTTCAAAGATCACTTCAAAGCGTTCTTCATTGCCATAGATTCCTGACTTGGACATATGATAATGTTAAAGGGTATAGAAAAATCGGCTCATCACTAACAATCTTATCCGTTAACTCACAGCATGTAGACAACTTACAATTAACTTAGTCAGGCTGGTCAAGCGCACTTATGGATCTTCAATACCATTGAAATCATTTTAGCTCACTTGACATCGTCAAGCTGTACTTGCCAATGGTCGTCGTCCGTCGTCCGTCGTCCGTCGTCAACATTTCGAGACGGTCACACGGATAACTCAGGAACGTTTGACCGCCATATGTTATATGAATTGGTATAGGTTTACTGCTATGCTCCATACTCTAAAGTCTATTTTGAAGCATGCTAGTCGAACGTAGCTTTCAAAGCCACCCCCGGCAAAATTTTTTGCGCAAAAATACGGGAATTGCATTCGTCAGTTCCAGGTTCAACGGATTTTGCTCATCTTTGGTATTGAATGACATGAACGGGGCTAGGGGTTTTGAGACTTTAAAAACAAAATGCAATGGTAGTTAGGTTTGTGACCCAATTATATAGCATATCTATACTAGGACATCAAAGCAGTCTGTCGCGGTGTCACACTGTCTGGTTCGGTTTCTCAAAGACTTTCCCCCCCCCCCCCCCCCCCCCCCCCCCCGCCCTCCGCTGATCAAGTATCTTTAATGCAAGGTGGCTTCCTTCTCTGCGTCACCCTGCGACTAAAGTCTCTATTAGAGCTTAAAGTTTTACCAAACTACTGTCGCAGGAACCGCAGCAGTTACTACCAATCTTATTTCAAAATGGCATCGCTAGCAAAGCGCGGTATCAGCCGCATCTCACGGTCACAAATTGTGAGTTATTTTTTGGTTTCATAGTTAGTTTGGATATCAGGATGGCATCATTTCTAGCTAATGTCGGCGATGGTTGCTCATTAAAACCGGACTTGTTCGTACCTCACTCATTTGTGTTTTTTTTGTGGTGAGCTGACAGTGTCATTGACGACCTTCTCATTGCAAAGACTGAGGATCAGTTTTAACTAGACAAAGTGCCACTACGGAGTAGTGCATACCTTGCCAGGCGACATGAGCGCCAATTAGCCATACGACTCACCAACAACGGAGCAGTACAGCCCGGCACGATATACGCAGCGTACTGACATGTACGGCTGGTTCTTGCTGACCGTCGCTTCGTCGTAGGCAGCGCCCGCGTCATTTGCTGCTGCTCGCTCAGATCACAATGTGAACGCTCCGCCGTCGGCTATCACTGGTGAGCTGGCTGACGCTGGGCTCGATGCGCGCTTAGATACAGAGCGAATAGCAGTCAGACGCCGAAGTGCTAAGCAGGGCGAAGTACATAACCTCCTCGCAGCTCGGTTGGACGCGGCCGGTAATAATATTATGAAACACGGTGCAGTTCGTTATACAACCGTGTTGGGTCTTTAATAATGTAGAGTGACCGTTACATGTACAGCATTTTCATTCCTTCTCTCATTGTTTTTGCTCTTTAGGAGATGATCAGTTTTTGAGGACGTGTTATGAAGCAGCAAACGGTGGATGCTGGAATATTGTAAAGAGCGCCGGTGTTGAAATTTTTGATGAGAAAAGAGCGTGATAAATTGACGTATGTCTTCCCCTGCTATGGCAGTAAGTCTTTTCATTATTTGAATGTTTCAATATTACTATGAATTGTTTCTTATTATATTAATTACTTTACCTCGTTGATATGATTTCTGTAGCACTTCGCAGATGGTCTGATTTACACAATCTGATTGTAGGACTGTCATAATTTTAATTTATGGACAAAACACTAACACTATCGTAGATCTAATTCTATTGTAATTATTATAAGTGGTTCAACCTCTAATAAGTGATTTGATGGTGACTTTCTCCCTGTAACTAAAAGTAGCGCTTGTTGATTACGTCTACTCTCAGCTTTATGCGATATGGCCGGTATTGCTTAATGAAATTAACGTTTTATGAAAATGAATCGCATCATCACTGTATTTTATTTATAGGGGGATATATCTCTATGCTCAAATTACGCGAAAAATTTCATGAAATTTCCCAGCACCTAATTATGTTACACAAAAATTTTCGAATTTTTATGGTAAGAAATGATATTTTGCGATATTTCTCAATTACCAAAAAGAGTGGAGGATACAAAAATTTTCGCCACTATTAAGCGATATGTTTTTTTTTTTTTTTTTTAATAAAATTTTTTTTTTTTTTTTTTTTTTTTTTTTTTTTTTTTTTTTTTTTTTTCTTTTTTTTTTTTTAAATTTTTTTTTTTTTTTTTTTTTTTTTTCTTTTTTTTTTTTTTTTTTTTTTTTTTTTTTTTTTTTTTTTTTTTTTTTTTTTTTTTTTTTTTTTTTTTTTTTTTTTTTTTTTTTGTTTTTTTTTTTTTGTTTTCTACCCAAAATAGGCATCAGGTTTTCTTTATGTTTCATATTGTACGAGAAAATTAAAAACTGCCTAAATTCAGTCGCCACACGTTGATTAAGAAATTTTTGCGATAAAGAGACAATAACTCATAAAATACGGCCAATTAATTACACAATCCTGGCGCGCTTTGTTACGCATATGTTACATTAAATATGAAGTGTAAAATATAAGATTATTCCGAGTTATTAAATATCCATTGTATTACATTCGACTCTAAGTCAGAATTGGACGGCAGAAAATCGGGTTTTTTCGACGTCAGCGCGGCTCATTACACCATGTTACGCGGGCAGCCAAACGCTCTGACAGCTTCACATGTACCGTTATATGGGAAATGAGCATGTACACAGGTGTCACATAGTGTTAGCGCTCGAATAAAGTGAAATCGAAAATCGGTGAAATTTTTGCCTAAAAACCTGGAGATCATGCTTTTAATATGGTTGACGGATTGACTGATGTGCTGGTTTCACATTCACAGTTGCACATAATTCATTCGGTCAAATTAATTCAAGACAAACGACACAAGTGCGGTATGTTGAAATGCCACCCATTATGTACTGTTTTTCCCCTTCTGTCAACTTGGTTTACTTAAGGTCCAAAACAAAATTATTTGTGTGCGTTACGGTTACATGCCGAAAAATTAATAGTGTAGTGGTAGGGAAAACATTTTATTTTCTGAAATATTTTATTTTTCGAACCATGTACGAGAAGGTTGGTGCGGTTGGCCTTTGTGCAAGCAGGGAGATAGTCAATTAGTATAGTATCTTTATTTATTTTTTGTCCCTTAAGAACATTTGCACAATAAAATGTTTTAGTCGTGCGGGGCCGATAATAGGCGGTCGGCGGTCGGGAAGACCGTAACCACACCTATATTTTGTTTTGCACTAACCCAGATTCATGGTCATATTGTATGGGCTGAAACATTTATCTGATTTCTAATTTTTTCCTTCTATGTTGTTTATCCGTATACAAAACCAATACCTACTTGCCCCCTGCTTGAATGCTGTCTTTCACTTATGAACATGTCTTCATGTAGTGTTAACAAGATGGCTGTGTCCATATTGTAATAATTTATAAGAGCAGATACAAAATGCATATATATGGTCAAGTATAGATAAATTTATACTGGTTTAGATGATGAGATGTGCAAGCCTCTTGCAATGGCAGTTGTTCTACTGAAAGCTATTCTTCATCATACAATTGTTAATAGGCAAGAGAAGGAATGGGGTTAGCAAGCAAAAAGGACGAAATCCGAAATGGAATACTAGAAGAAGAATCGATGGATACTATCACAGTCTTCCCGCGAAAACATAGCTCCTGGGGATAAACAGTTGACCCTCACATGGTTACTAGCAACGCAGGCAAAATAAGACAAGTGGAATCAACGACGATTCTAATGTCTGCTAACATCCGCCGGCAAAGAAATTGAAGAAGACGAATGGTGTGCAGGATCCTCGTTTCAGTTCGACCGTGGCCAGACTAAATCCGTGCACTTCCCTCCACTCTCCACAAACGCAAAGAAGTATCTCTCTGTAAAACAGGAACAATGGCCATGAAATCAGCGTACCGGTCAAACGGCGATGTATGAGTAAATAAATTTGTGTGATAACTGGTACGAATATTTCCCAAAATAGATGAACATGTAGTGATCAGCTGCACGAATTGAAATTAAGTGTGCGAAAATAACTACTAACCTTCTTAACCATGGTTCTAAACCGAGAGGTTCTAACATGTTTTTGCAGCTTGTATTTGTATAATGTAGGGAGGCAAACGAGACAGATTTCAAATCTAAATGAAAGCTGTTATCATTACAGCTTTCAGGCTTGAGTCCCTGTGTGGGAGCCTGCCCATGCCGCACGTTTGTGAAAAACGCTGCCAGACACTTGCAGAGGAGGTTACTCAGCAATGAGTCAACTTGTAAATCAGCAGTAGCGGTGCAGAGCTCGAATTAGCGACGAGAAGGGCAAAGCAATTTTTATAGGGCATGTGAGAAATCGCTTGAATTGTTCTTCTAAATGGAAAAGGGCACAGACGCAATTTAGAAAAGCGCACAGCCAACGTCTCAAAATTTCGAAGAAGGCACGAATGGCACTTTTGTAAAATAAAGGAAAAACTCCATAACAAATTTTACTCAAATCGTCTTGCCTTTTAATGTACAAAACAATTGCCCCATGTAAGCTTACACCTGTAACACCGAACCCCGTGTACCCCTGCCCCTCGTCCGAATGGAAGTACAGCAACCAGGTACAAAGACATTTTAATGCCCGCGATCAGGAGCGCAATATTATCCGATAGCTGTTATTCATTCCCTCATGCCGACTATCGGTTTTAGTTTCTCAGCATTTGAACTACGCACGCCACGCGACGTGTTATGTTGAACTTCGACTAAAACGAAACTAGGGCAGTTAGTTAAAGCGGCACCGACGGCAAGTTACAAAACAGGGCAAGGCAGGCTGGAACTGCCGTCGTTGGGTTGCGATTTTTTCCATGGGCAGTTTACGCGATTGATGGCACGACCAGCAATTGCGTCCGGGTGCGATCGGTTAATGCGAACCTGCAGCAAGGTTGGTATTTGTTGTGTGACTAATCTATATTATCCCGAATGTATAATATATAATTTACTATATATATTACAAATAAGTACGATATAAATATTATTATTATAGATGAGACAGGGTTAAAATACTCGCCGATCGGCTGATCCGACGGCTTTTTCAGCTTCCGATCAACACCGGATCATGACAAAATAAACAGTCGGCGGATCGACTGAAATCACCGGAAAAAAAAAGCGAAAAAAAAGAGTATTCAAGTCTGCAAAGCGCCTGTGGAATGCTATTTTAAGTGAACTGGAAAGGAGGATTTTCATTAATTGGAAACATGTTGCACAACTCTCTCCTCCTTTTGGTTACATAAGTCATGGCCACTAGGATCTGAATGGGTGAGAAGACTGATGGCGTTGTGCTCTTATGATATACGTGGCGCACCTACAGGACAGTGTTTGCGTAGGCGGCATTGTACACGAAAACGTTGCATGGACCCGCGCTGCGACCCACTGCACTCTCTCTCTCGCGTCACGCTCAGTGCCGGATGATGAACCGTGCCCCGTCAAAACGGCTCGGCGCGCTCTCTCCCCGCCGCGCGAGAACAAGAAGCATAGAACTTTGGCTGCTGCTCGCGTGGTGTGGAATTCTGGCTTGCTGTCTTTGGCGGTCTACTAGTGCTAGAGTGTGAGAGGCTCTCTCTCATAATGAAGAGAATAAGAGTCTGATTGGGAAGAAGCCAGAACTTATCAGGACCAACTTTAAATGCACTGATGAGAAATTTCTTCTGGATTCTCCTTGCAGTTAGGTGCTTTTTGATCCGTCTAATGCAGTGGACCCCCCCTTTTTTTTTTTCTGGGAAGCAGAGAGATAGAAGAAGGCCGTTTTGTCAAACGTATGGCCTATCTTTCCACTACTTGCCACTGTTGAAGGATGAGGAAAACGGTCCCCCCCCCCCCACCCCCCGCACCGAACAGAGCCGAAGATTACGTAGACATGACCGATGATGCCCTTATTAATATTATGAACTGTTGTGCAACACTCAGAATCGACTGAGAAAGAGAACTGGAAATGAAATAAATCAAATTCTAATTTCCTGATTGTGCGCCTGTTTCTAGTCTGTTTCTATCTTTTTTGCCTGGTTACTGTATACGCTTGTAAAACAGGAACATATTGCAATGTATAAATAATTATAACGTATGCGTTTCGGCAGGATCACCAAAATGTTTGCAGGATCACCAATATTATAACATCGGTGATCCTGCAGGATCACCGATGTTAGAAAAGTATTTTCAACCCTGGATAGATACATATATACATATTGCTTGAATGCTCTTTTCACAGATTGCTGTGGAAATCACTTTTATTAGTGATTTGCATATATAGGTTGCCTTGTCACGATTTAAATACCCGGAGGCAATTGCTCCACGCTAACGTAGCAAAATGCGATACTCGATATACGTAGCACAGATTTGCACCGAAACTGTTAGCATTGACGAGCGGATTATTCGACGCTCAGTGTAGTCACACTACACCGAATTATGTTGTCGGTGAATCGTTTCTCCTCAGTGCGAGCGAAGAAGAAGCGCGGCGAGACGCACTGGATGAAGACGGTGATATCGTCCGGCACGCTGGCCGACAGGATGGCCGCGTTGACGCTGCTGCTGCAGGACGCTCCCGTCCACAACCACATCACCATCGATATGCTCGTCGGCATGGCCAACAAGAAGGGACGGCGCGAGTCCATAATGGCGCTCGGTGAGCGGCGGTCCTCGCGACCACTCGTCTCGGATTTCAGAGGGGGGGGGGGGGGGGGTTGAATTCGAATTTGTAAAAGTTTCAGGGTTCGGGTGTCGAATTTTAAGTATTTATAATTTTTAGGTTTTTGGCGTCGAACAAGAATTTTTGGGTTTGAATTTTAGTTTTAATCAGGAGGGACAATTTCAAGTCTTGTCCGTTGATTACCGAGTACATTTAAACCTGCTTATAAATGTCCCTTGAGGAAAACCCTAAAATTGTCATATAGGTGGTTTCATCGGATAAGTGTCACTGAAGGGGAATCCCAAAAACATCTCTATAGACAGGCAGTTGTATACAGGTGTCCGCAAACATAGGCCCCCATCGTATTCTCAGTGCGCCAGACAGTCGAACCTGTCTATACGTGTACTTTGAGGAAACCCCCAAAATTGTCCTTTATAGACAGGTGTCTATCCTATAGGTGATTTACTGGTATACATGTCGTTAGGTATATATATGTATACAGGGGTGGCGCTGGGTATTTTGATAGTAATATAAAAAATTTTAGGGCACAATTTATTGGTCTAAACACATGGCAGCTATGGTGCATGTATTATTCACGGGGGTGATGGGGTGAACTCGCGCTGATGTGGCAGTTACTCACGTTGCCAAGCAACATCAGCGCAGTTCACCCCATCACCCCCATGAATAATACATGCACCATAGCTGCCATGTGTTTTGCGTACATATCCGGTAACGTGACGCGTGCGCACGCCACTTCGTTTCAAAATGAAATGCCAGTAGTGCTTACTTTGTGGAATCAAAGGACAAATACATGGTGTAAAGTTGTTGAAAGTGTTCAAAAAGATAGGTGAGATGTCCATGTAGATAAATAAGTGTTAAAAAGCCGATAACTTCGCGTTTTGCGATCCATTTTTCATGGGGACAGGTGGTAACAGGTCGTAGTTGGTATTTACAGCCGACAATGTACTATAGCCCTGCGGCAGTTTATCGAACGCGGGCTATAGTACTAGAGCTACTCCGACCTGTGATTGGAGGATAAAAATAGAATTTGTGACGTTTCGTTTTTATTTTGCATACCCCGCCGCATACGCTATTACGCTGACCGGTAGGAAAGTGTACTAACTGTTATTAGTATCATCGCCCGATTGATTATACTTTATAGGAAATCCTGCGCGCTGATTGGGTGAGACATAGGTAAATATATTTCGATAATCACCTCTAGGGTTTACATTGTGGACGTGGATATTCGTCCGAGCATCGGACACCTGTTCGTATGTGCTATTCGTCCGAGCAGTTGTTACGCATGCGCTGTTCATGTTGTATTACATAAATGTAATATAATGCTAGTCTAGGGAGGCGCCTGTTACGTGCTGCACAGCCACGAAGTCAGAGCCAAAACCAGAACCAGTGGAAAACGTTTACACAAGCATTTAAACGTGTGCTCCGTGCCCTGTCCACTGCCCAACTGCCTCGTGTATACACGTGTACGTTACACCAATCTATTGACACGTGTGTCGCCATCTAGTGGCTGACTAGGCTATTCCAGACATGTACTACAACACTTAAAACATCTTTCTCTTTTTGGAAAAACTCGATCTAGCTCAACACCAATCAACACTACTTCTTAAGTAACACAACTCAACTTTATTAAAATAACAGAACAAAAAACGAACTATTTTCACAGTCCTCATAGGTTATCGTTATCGCTCCACAAGAATTTAACCTACAGGGTTCGACACTAACGCTAGTCCGTTAGTCCGAGACTAGTAAAAAATCAGAAGGACTAGTAGATTCCCATAGCCGTTAGTCCGGCGGGACTAGTTATATTTTCCCCGTCCCTCACCGTCCCAATTTCCCATCGATTTTACCAGCGGCAGCGTCTCTCAACCAAGATCCAAAGTGCTATATATAACTCATTCTCATTAACAAGTTTTCCTTGTTAGAAGCGCTAGTACAAGTAGACACTAGCATGCTCTGCACGCTCTAGGCATGCTAGACCCTACGGTAGTGCAAACATTGTTAAACAATGGGGTCACGAACCCACCCAGTCTACCGAGTGATCGCTTGACAGTAGCTGTTGACATAGTGTGGTAGCGTGCCATTGGATGAGGTCAACCAATCACGCCTCGGCATGTGTAACCGTGGCTATTGTGTATAGGGGGAAGCACTAGCTCTCCCTATATCTCTGAGTCTCTCCATTTGAACGTGATTCGCGGACACGCACGCACGCACGCACGCACGCGCGGACGCACGCACGCACGCACACTACTTAGATATTTTTGGAATTAGACCCGAGTTCTTGGAGTTCTTTTGTTTCTGAATAAGCAGATCTTGTCATTATAATTGGAATCAAACCACGTAGTTTCGCAAATTTTTATCTGTAATAAAAACTATAAACTACTATCAGCATTATAGTTATGTGTATTATCATTGTATTATATATACATAATATATTCAATACATATATTTATGGTATTGCAATAGGAAGTCTTGCATTTAGTCGTATTATATTGTTTTACAGGGACTTGGCAGCAAGGAATTGTCTTCTCACAACAAAGGGTGCGGGGCGCAAGGCCAAAATTGCTGACTTTGGAATGGCTAGAGATATATATAGGCAAGTGCATAGTAAGAGAATATCCGTACTCCCATGAGTAGTTATAGTCACTATAATTATCAGTTCATTAGCAATATATATATATATATATATAAACAGGGGCTGCGCCAGGGTATTTTGATAAGGGGCGAGACGGCGCGCAAAGCATGAGGCAGACAACTGCTGAAAAGGGGGAGGGGGACTTCTAGGGGGGTGTGGGGGCATGCCCCCCAGAAAATTTGTGAAAATTATAAGCTCTGAGAATGGCTCTGCAATCTAGAGCCATTTCAGGGTACTTCAATAGCTCACAACTAGCAACACTTTTTGGTGGAAAAGGAAAAAATTATGCATATAACATGATCACTTACTGTAAAATTTTGATGGGCACTGGGGAATTCCGTCTGTGTTGAGTGTGTCCAAAGTAAATGTATTTTGTAGACATACAAGCTCTTACGTAGGGAAGCTTTTATTTAGCTACACCCTGTATAAAATGTATATAGTTTTTCCAAACGTTAAAAACAATATGAAACGGTTAAACCTGCGTGGTGCGACGAGGCTGTGCTGCTGTTTGCATGACTAGTAAGTAATACGACGTGATTTGCAGCTACAGTGACTTATGTGTGTTAAAACTTGAGACAATTATTATTATTTACTGTATAATTCAACAGGCTATATTACATAAATCTTGTTAATATTATTTGAAAACAGTACATACTGATCGTTTGTTAACAACCAGTGATACTTTATTGTTTACATCAGAACGTGAAATGCGCGGGGATGTGCGAATTACTCCACAACCTAGCGCACGTGAACAGTGAGCGTGCCGCACGACCCGTGCACGTAAATAAACCCTGCCCAACACAATGTAAGGTTCACTACCACTGGCCAAAAGTAAGCTCCACCCACTTCTTATCCATTTTTGGTATGCCAACGCTGCTACTGGATTCAGGAACCTGTGCTAACCTGTGCGTCCGAACATCCCACGGACGTTTCTTAAATGCCAACTAAAGTTTGGCCGTACAGGCCCGTACTCTGCTTTTATCATTATGTTAGTAAGCAGGCTTTCAGATTTGAAAAGTACAGGAGGACTACTAATGACTCTCATAGGACACCATAGGGGGTTCTCCACCCCCTACCCCACCTACCTCCTGGCAAATCACACTCGTCACATCGTCGCTCTGTGCCTAGTAAGAGTCCTTCGGTAGGACTAGTAGAATCTTGGAAGGACTAGTACATTTCTTCTTTTACTAGTCCCGTGGACTAATGAACTAAAATGGTTAGTGTCTAACCCTGACCTATATCAAATATCATCAATACATCACAAACTATACCTTCTTGTGCCACCGATACGTGTTACATAAATGAACGATCATAGCTGAATAAAATAAAACCGCTTAACATACGACGAGACACTCTATCCTCCTATACTACTGATGCTACTGCCTAAACCTCACAGGCATTTTAACAGTTCTGCCGGATCTGGTTGTCTTTACATCGGCGTCTGTTGCCATCTTTGTTTTGCCAACCGCCGATGCTGACGGTGGCTGAGGTACGTCGGAAGGGGGTGCGATTGGCACTTGCACCGGCGATGCTGGCGACGTCGCTTGCCTGTGCGAAGAAAGCGACCTTGACCCTCTCTATGTGATGACATAGCTTCACGGCGGGCTCCAGCTTCAGTGCAAGGTGCTCCTGCACCGTAGGCAGGTTGAGCAGCATCAGCGCCTGACCGTCAATCTCCTGTTCCCTGAGGATGCGAGACATGTGAGCGCACTCTGTGTTCTCGATGAATCGAGAGACGTCGTGCACTGACCACTCCAGCGGATTTGTCTCCAACACCAGGTGGCTCTCCTTGTTGTCTCTGCCGCCGCCGCTGCTGCTGCAGTGGTGCCTGTGCTCCTGTCGATGGTGTGAGTGTTTAACGTGCATCGTCGGCTCCTCAACCGGGCTGATGACATTTATCTCCTTCAGCCTCTCCAGCTTCATCTTTAGTTTCGGTCGCACCACGATGGGGACTCTCCTGTTGGCCATCACCACAGGTATCGCACCAGCACGAACATTACGATGCCGGGTACCGAATAGTTCTCCCAGCTTCTTATCATAAACCTCTGCGAAGGCATCTTGTGTGGACCTTGCAGCGACCACGTCGAAGTTGTCACGTTGAACTTGTATGAGGTTCATTTGCACACTCGTCTGGTAACCTAAAATAGGTTGCCTCTCATCCTCAAACACAACAAAGGGCACTGAGTATCTTCTGTTGTTCCTCGGGTTAGTCACCTTCATTCGACGTGTCCCCGAAGGTTTGTGGACAGCCTTGTTTTACATCTTTAGTACACCTCTATATGGCTCTATCTTGTCTGCAAATCTGGATGGCAGCATGTTTACAGACGCCCCGGTGTCTATCTGA